AGGCAAGTAGGTTACTGAATGTGAAAACACGTACGGTGTCGCTCGGTGTATGGTTTCATTTACGTTCAGCACACAAACAAATACCAATTATGTACTGTTCATTAAACTTTAGTGCTCATAAGGCCAGAAATAATCTAGGTGCACCTGCTAATTATTGCATGAATCACATCCATACCTCTGCAAACGTCTACACACTTTTATAGGGCTCAATATTTCCGTGATGTAAAATATATTCTATATCCAAGAAAATGTAATACATGGGGTTCTCCGGTTTATGACGATTTACCATTAAGTTTGTTACACAGACGGTTATACAGTCCTAACCTAAGCATCCCCCAATAAATAACCACTTTTGTGAAACTATTATTTATCTAAAAAGGGGGAAAGTTTTCGAAGGTTGGTACCACTGGTTGATAAGTGACGATCGATGAAGTGTACGGGTATAGTTTGATGATGTAACAGGTTAATTTTTGTTTTACACTTTATATATAGAAGTGGTAACATTTTATTGTTGGATTCTGTATAATGTAACATTCCTGTTTTACGACGAAACGTACTTGCATTTACGACGCTTATTCCGACATGACTGACACCACCACATTACTGTGTCGATGTGTCACTTTGGTTTCAGACGCGACTTGTAGTTGAAATTTTGCTTTTTCGAAGTAGAGTCGATAGAGATTATTTCGCAATGTGTTACGGTGTTTGGGGATGGTTAATGCTGTAAATAAATGTCTTACTGATATCTTATTAAGTGAAAGATGTATGTTTCTATCCCGTGGCCAGGAAAGTTATCACCGTTTAAGGTATAACATTGCGAAGGTTTTGTTTTACGACGAGCAAATTACATTACCAATATTATTGATAAGTTAAAGTTAAATTTTTAAATTCTGGTGAGATGGCGTAGCTCATTGATAACCGGGGTAATTCGGCCGGGTCGTGAAGTTGACAAAGACCCTGAACTTGTGATGAAGCTGAGACTGCTTGGCACCTAGCTTAAGTCCGCCTGTGTGCGTTCGTCGAGCCACAGGGACCAGTTTTTTGCGTTTACTTTGAATTGTTTAATTACGTAGACAGTCGTATAGGCCTGTAAACAGCGTTGTTTGAATATGGCTGTCTTCTGGATTTTAGCGCCGTATATAGTCTGGTAGACGTTGATGATTGCCCTGATGATGAGTCAGGAAGGACCTCTGAAACGTTGGTAAATTTCTACCAGAATACACGGCGCTACAACCCAGAAGATAGCTATCTTCGGACTCACCGCCGTGAGAACCACGTATCTTACTTCAGCCTTGTCGTTTGATGTCAGAAATGAGACTGAAATGAAACCAGCCAGAATGCGGTGAGTCAGACGCTTGCGAAACCGCACCGTACACAGCGGGAGTAAAATCTTGTATTCAGTGGTGAAACTTGTCTCTAGTCCATGCGGGTAGCATTTCTTCGTGCTAATATTTGATGTTATCTAAAGCAAGACTCTCTCCATGTGACGGTACACTAAAATATAGTTCAGTAACAAATTGTAGATGTTACGTTCGCTGTGTTTGTGTGTACATGGTTTTAAAAAATCCCAATTCATACTCGCAAAACTACATTCATTTCTTACCCAAAAGCCTTTGAAAAACGTTGGTATATATTATTGCTGTCATTATTAGAAAGTGTTCAAAGAAAATCTGCCACTTTTTGTCATTGCCGGTACTTTGTTTTATATTTTACCTAATTATAATTCGATTTTTAAATTTTTTAAATTTTATAACACTTTATTACATACGACATCGCTATGATTTGTTTTTAAGTGTAAAATAAATTGCAAGTAAGAGAATTATCTACTTTTAGCGTGACGAGTGCGCTAAGATATTGTCCTCCGTCTAAGTGCACCTGTGCTGCAAATGACGTATGCAGATTTTTTGACATTCTTGGCAAAAAAAAGTCTCCTTTGAGGACACTTTCTCTGTACGGGAAAGTGATTTCTTTATTTGTTAGACTTTAAGAGTTTGTTTTATTCTGTTTCTTTATAGTGTATTTTATTGATGTATATTTTTATGAGCGCTTTCCTGTTGTTGGTTCTTTGCTGTTGGCAAACACTCTAATAAATGACCTGAATTATTCTGCAGATTTTTGGACATTAGCAAGAACATTATCTTTTTTAGGATACTTTCTTTACACGGGAGTGTATCCAGATTGATTATTTGCTTTACTTAATTTTTTTACGTGTTTTATTTGGGGATGAAACAATTTTTACCCGTTGTTTTTTATGGGTGCGAAACATGGTCTTTGAGGGAGGAACATAGATTGCAGGTGTTTGAGGAGGATATTTGGGCCTAGGAGAGAAGACGATTGGGTATGGAGAAAGCTGCATAATGATGAGCTTAAAAATTTATACTTCTCCCCAAGTGTTGTCAGGGTGATTAAATCGAGAATAATGAGATGAGCGGGGTATGTGGCGCGCATGGATGGGGAAAGACGTCGGCACCGGGTATTGGTCGTTAAGCCTGAAGGGAAGAGACCACTGGGGAGACCTAGATGTAGATGGGAGGATAATCTCAGGCGAGATCTGTGGGAGATAGGAGTTGAAGGAGAATGGATTTTGTTGGGCCAGGACGGGGTCCGGTGGAGGACTTTGGTTAGTTTGGTGATGAACCTTCGGGTTCTGTAAGCCATCTAGTTAGTTGTCTTTGGAAATATGTTACTTAATCGTAAACTTTAGGGGGGGTTAATAAATTATTAAATTGACGGTGTTTCAGAGCTAAGCGCGTGTGTGGGCCTGGGCGAGCTTACAAAGGACTGGGGAATAATGTATAATAAGGCGCTACACATTGCGTACGTTTTACTAGTTACTGGTGCTATTAATGTGATCAGATTTTGGAGATTTGTGGGAGTAATGTCAGACTTTTGAAGGGAAATGAGAAGAGATCGTAAAATTGTTTCCGACAAACCTCAATGGTTGAATGGAAGCGATCATTTTGGGGGCCTTGGCTGATATTAAAACGGATTTAAGAGAAAGCGTGAATTCGATTCAGGCAGTTGAAGGTGATAACGTGAGTTTGTAAGCACTGAGATGGACATTCGGATTTCGCACACTCAGCCCACTGATTGAACAACTATCACTTCGCCAGGGAGGAAATCGTACGACACAGTTTTCAGCAGAAACAGCTGTGTTAAGATGGCGACATATGGGCTGCTTTCCTCCCTTCAGGACTGTTTCTCGTCACGTGTTCACCATAAATCACAGCAACACAGAAACACACCGCGCTTGCGTTCAACATTCTTCATTCCAGAAAAAATGGGTCAAAGGTCAGCACATCTGGCTTGTTAGCAGACACACGTGAATCTTGGCGTGACTTTAAGAACCAGATTGTAAGGCAGGGGTAGACAAACTTATTGCGTGCCAGGAAGGATGATACTTTAAATGCTGTCGGATGGCAGAAAATACAGAACAGTATTCGCATCCAGGTCAACCCATATGCGATTTGGGGTGGACAGAGGGCCTGTTAACGGCCCAGTGTTACAGAGACGAACTGAGTCCATCACAATCATAGGACAAACATATTTGAGTCATGTAGTGGATGTAGTGGCAGTGTGACGGTTTTTAAATTCTGCCGCAGTGGTGATTGTTCCCGTCTGGCGAATCGTGCGCCGTTGGACCACCAAAACTGGTGATGGAAAAAGAAGTTTTATTGCATTACACATCTGCATAAAACAATAATATTTAAATACCTTCGCAATGTGATGTGGTGGATGGGGGATTTAAAAATGTTGAATTTTCGCGCGAATGGATTCCAAACGAGTATTCGGCAGTGCCTACCAGTCATCATTCCGCCAGACGTCTTATGTAGTCCCTGAGTTGTGCGACAGGCGTGTCCAGTTGACTAGACACGACACTGATGCGAGCTAACCTCGAATCATTGATTTTCGGTGTCACTCAGTCGTGATATTGGGAGTCTTGAGGTAGTTACCTGGGCGGTGTGAACGCCCTCTTAACAAGTGGAGCGATAAGGAAAGTGTAAACGGGCATGCTTCGGTTGTGACGTCGTCTCTGTATTTGCAGATGGTCATCTTTCTGGGCGAAGTTGCACAGAGTGCTTCGGTTTACACATCCCGGAAAACACCAAATAGGTTTCTAAACACATCAAAGCTTATGTTTGTTTTGATTTTCTGATGTCTGTCGTTCTTAACCTTGGACCATCGTGTTCGGACCAGAACTGGCAGCTAGAAAGCAGCGTCACCTCTAATTAGCAGCCGAACTGTTGCTCACATCGATAGTTGCTGACGTCATTAACAAAGCATGCGAACTAATATCAGGTGATTGTCTTACATCGAATAGGGCGAAAGATAAACCCTGTTCTAGACAGTCACTAAGACTGCTCGGATGGAGAGTCGGTGTATCCTTGGCCTGGAAATCACAGCATAGAACGACGCTTATTCAAATAGTACGTGCCCCGAGTGGGATTCGAAACCGTAATCTCAAGATTCCCATCGGTCCAAAATCGTTCGTGCTCTGAACGACCGGTTCTCGCTACGAAAATTGTTGGTGTGAATATTTTCCGGTTATCGAGGCCCCGTTCCACAGAACCTTCCTAAATGTGGGTCAGCAACACTCACCAGATCAGACAAGTTTTAGCATCAGACTTGCATACTGTACGGCATCTACCTAGATTCTCTCTCTGTTCGCCCACGACAAACAACTTTACATGTTTCAGTCTGTGAGGTTTGGGACGAGGAAGGCAGTTTAGTCTGCATTGTGAATCATGCCTCCGTGGGTTGACGGAACTTGGTGTGGGCATTGTGAAAACTGTGTTTCTAGTGAAGTTACACCCACGCTTACTCAAAAAAGAAATGCATGTTCAGAATTCTAAATGATTCAACGTTAAAAAAACTGGATGTTTAAATGCAATGAATTAGCATAAGATTGTATAACCATATACATATAAACGCCGAGAACACATTTTAAAACCATTTACTCTTATGTCTGGTACATGTGACCACAAATCTTTCTTTCGCAGTTGGGAACGAGACAATGATGGCGCCCAGCGTGTACCAACCGCAGCAGCAGGAGGAGCTAATGGCTCCCAACGGAGAACAACTACAGTCGCCACTAACGCCACCTAGCTTCGTGCTGACATCTAGTAGCAGAGAAGCGGAATCTCCGGGCAGTCCTCATAGTCTTATTATGGCTGATGATGTGGATTCAGCTCTTGGAGGCAGTGCCTCGCCGGACATAAATGGGAAAAGGTAATGAAGATGTCACCTTTATTTTATTTCAGTACAGTAGAGCAATTTTTCTGCTTGCCAAACGGCGTGCTTGGCAAGCTTGTGCATTTTAGTAACTTGCGTGCATAAAAATATCGTTTTGCAGTATTTCCTTGTCACTTGTAGAGGCAGATCTGTACTGTTCATCTCAGCTGCTTTCTTTTTCCGTGGCGGATCGGCCTATTGTAAAGCCCGTAGTTGTACGGGACAAGGCGGCCAAATATTCGTTCCCCGAGAGGGGAAACGATCCCAGATCTGAGACGTTTCTTAGGCCTACCTTAACCAGCAGCCCACCGGAATCGTTTCAATATACTTAATTGATCCATCAAAATCAATACAAAGTACCGATGTGTAAGGCAACGGAACCAGACAGACTATGCCTAGTTACATCTGACCTTCCTCTTTTCAAAATTGTACAATGCCTGCCGAACAAAGGCTGTACATATTTAATTGATTATGCAGTTATATGTAATTAACATTTACGTCTAGCAAATGGAGGGCTTTTGTTTCGCTTTTACCAGTGTACGGTAGTCATGACGACCAACTCTTATGACTGTGACTGAAACACGGAGACAGGCCTGCGTATCAAATATTACGATGCTCATTACATGCTCGGCGTCAGTACGTTTTGTATTCATCCGTGCGTTTGCACGGACGCTGGTTGGTGCTGATACATCATGCATCTCCAACACAAGTGAATTAAATGTACGTAACAGGACATTGCCTTGTGAGTAAACTGGAACATTGACTTCCAGGATAATTAAATAACAGTTCCCTTCAGCCAATCGGAATAGTCTAGTCTGGATGATTATGTGGTGCTGTTTGCCGTTCCATTCGGGGCAGGAGCGAGTTTATACGCTTCGTTGCCTTGACCATGTCTGTTTTCTATCCCACCCTTCTACCTGGTAAATCCCGCAAGCTGCCTTTATCATCAGGGCGATTAGTTGATAGATGCAGAAAGAACCTCTGAAACGTCAGTAAGCTTATACCAGACTCTACGGCGCAACGTCCCAGAAGGCAGTCGTCGTTGTGCCTATTAGTAATTTACAATAAGATTCAGTTGCAAGACAGTTGTCTTCGTCTGCGGGATGGACCGTCATTTACCCACCGTTTGGTTTGTTTCCAGCTTTACTTATGTAAAATTGCAAAGAACGCATCTGGGAAACATGTAACATCGTACTTCTTAGTATTGACGATGTTGGTCGGTCTTAGGGTTGTAAATGGGAGCAGTATCTTTCTCCTACACGTCAACACGGCGATACAGGCCAGAAGACCAGTAGGTCTTCACGGCCGTGAGAATCTCATGTAGCCGGGACGGGGAAGAAAATTAAATCAGAATTTAATGGGGAAACATTGTGGAAAACAAAGAAGGGTATGGGAGGGTAACGATGAGACTTGGGGAAGCACATTGTAAGGTGAACCGAACTGACTCAGGATCGTTTCCAGTGGTGGACGTACTACGAAACTAAGCAGACCTTTCTACCCTTGTTATCATCGTATATGATAAAAATATCGTGTACTCTCTTTTTGAAAACAAATGCTCAGTTTCTTTGTATTATAGCAGCTGTCACTAAATTTCATGCTTCAAGACCACATCAAAATCGTACGACGTTGCAATACGAACAGCGGAGACCACGCGATAGGACGCGGCTCATAACTCGCATCGTAGCAAAGCAACGATGTTCTGGTGACTTAGGGTAAGCGGCAAGGGGGCGAAATTCTTCCATGGCCTTGAAGCACGCAGTTTGGTGACGGCTACAACAGTAACTGTAGTCCCAAGAGTATTCAGTGTGTCAAGTGCCAGCTGTTGGGTGTTGTAGTAGTTTGTATTTATGTTGTTTTGCATGGCGGTGCATGAAGCAGTCAGTGCTCCAGCATGTCCGACGGCGAGAATTACGAGTGTTATGGCGAGGGAGTGGAACTGGACATGGAAAATACGACGCCCAGCATCGGGTAAGTCGTGTTGTGTTTTGTGCAAAAACACCCTGGGTGAACGTTGGTTTGTGACTATAGAGTCTGACGGTTTTCTAATTGCGCATGGACCACTGACCTCAGATTTTGAGTAGAATGTTTGTAATTTGAAACAAAGTGGGGGAGAACAGGATGCTGTACAAGACTGCACATTGAGATTTTCATAATTTGTATTCTTCACTAGATGTTAGGGTGATCAAGTGAAGGAGGATGGGATGGGCGGTGAATGTAGCACTGAAGGCAGAAATGAACGTACACATATCATTATGATTATAAAATCTGGCGACTTGGAAGATCTAGGCGTAGATGAGAGGATAATATTAAAATAGATCGTAAAAAATATGGTGTGAGGATGTGGGCTGGATTCATAAGGCTCAGGATAGGGTCCAGTGACAGTCTGTTGTGAACATGGTGATGAATATTTTTGAGTTCCCTGAAAGTCGAAGATTTCTCTATTGTTTGATGCAATATCACCTTATCAAGAAGGACGGAATTTGCTTCATACAGTTGGTTACTTATAATTTCAATTCCTATTCGAGTTAACAGTAAAACTAGAATACTGCAGCAGTTTCTGGGCATGTCATATTGATGAGTCGCCCTGATGATGGAGGCAGTAAGCGTCTCTTAAACTTTGGCCATTTTCTACCAGGCTACACGGCGCAACATCAAAGAAGACGGTCGTCACCACGTCTTAAGTCTAAAGCCCTTGTTGGGAATTTGTGGCGGACAGATAGGCACTGGGACGGGGTTTTCTCCTATTCCTTTCAATTTTCCTCAGTCAGTGTCATTGCACCGCTGTTCCATATTCACCCATGTTACCTGTGGGTTGGCTCATTTCTGTAGAGCCATAGTCGCACCCCATCACAGAAATGAAAAGGGACCTCGGTTACACAGCGTCTTGACCTTGCAGGGACGGTGCCGGCAGTGGGTGCCGCAGTCCGACGTCGAACCTCGGCCTGACACGTAACACTTGGCTTCGAACCAGCCTGAGGAGGACCAGGTAATGCGATGTTTACAGCCACAGTCGCTGTTGGCTCTTTTGCGGTGTGGATGTTTATTTTAGTATCATACGGAAATAAACTGGCAGAAGTGTTAGAATGATGATACGAGTGCAAGAACGTGTCACCGCAAAATCATTAAAGTAACTGCTGCTAGTAATTCATTTAAAAAATAAATGGGCCCAGACTTAAGTACTTGGAAACTATTGTACAATTCAGACATAAATGTTACGAGGACTGAATTATGAAAACAATAGATTCTGAAATTAAACAATATTAATACGCCATTTGTTTCCAATATCGTCGAAATTCAGTCTGTTACATGCTTCTTGAGAACATTTTTACCGAAGGCTGTTGAATCAGACAGTTCCTGATATTACATAACTAATATATTCATGGAGTCTGGCGATTTGTACAGATTGATTAGTACTGTTTGGGTGGCGATATTAAAGAAACTGATGGACTAGATTTGTAGCTCGTATGGCAGCGGTAATAACTGCTTGCAGGATTTTGGCGAGGAAACGTCTTAGAAGGCCGTCACTTCGAAAAGATATTGAGATGGGAGGTCGGCCGTAATATGAATAATACTGGTAAACTTTCGGAGGTTGGGAGGTAGATGCTGTTGGATCAGGGCCTGGGTATTACCTGTGTTGAATATACTTTTCCAGACTCACTGGTCGTTTATTTCTGTAAAGTCTTCGTAATTTTCATGAACTCGCAGTGAAAATGTGTAAAGTTAATAATTTAAGTGATAAAATGGTAGGTAGGTGAAGTTGCCCCTGTGTCTAAGCACCGCTTCCTGGAGGCGTACAGAGGGTGAGGAGATCACCTCGGCAATAGATGCAAACGATTGGTCAGTTTCACCGTTCCGCCGCTTTATCCCTGATATCAGTTGTATTTGGGTTTGTTAGGTACCAGAGCCGATCTGGGAGTGTTGGCAAAGGGAAGAATCCTATCCTTGTCGGGACGACCTTACACAATGAACCGTCTTGCCTCATAACACCAGATTAACTCTTTAGAGCACTGTGGTAACATATATATATGTAGAATACCAGCGACTTCAACATTAAATAATTCAGCATCTTGCCGACAGAGCGTATTTATGGGTTTTGTACGATTCTCAGAATAAAGAGCTATTATTTCCTTAGACAGCATTAACCAATTGATATTTGTAGTGGAGACGCGTTAGGTTTTCTTTCTGGTACGAACTACGTTTTTAATATCATTTAGTTGAGGGTTTCGTTGTTCAGAAGTTTAAGGTATAACGTATAATTCAAAATTATTAATTATTAATTTGATCGCATAGTTTACCTCAAATGCGATAGCAAGAACCCGAATATTTCAGTAAAGCAATTGGCTATGGGCAAGAGTTTTCTATCTGCCACCGCATCGGGACTAGCTCTAGGGCCTATACAGTGGGCATTAAGAGCTTTCTTCGACGCTAATGGAGCTGGAGCGTGAAGCTGACCATCAGTTCCATCTGGTGTCAAGAATTAGTGCCTGGAACTGTACCTCCTGGCGTGTTCACTTTCAGGAATTGCTTTACGTGTAAGTGAAGCAAAAATCGTGCGTGAGTACGGACAACTTTTGCTCGGACCTGCTTGTCTGTGTTCATGTGCTAATGCCCTCTGTACAAAATAGAATAATAATGTGGTAATGTTGTGGAGAATGCTTATGGACGTAGAGTCTGTGCATGATTAGTTGCGGAGTTGAATAAATAATGTGGGCAGTGTAAAAATATGTGTATGAGCATACAGTGAGCTTGTTGCCTAGTAGACTTCGTTAAGTCGTTGGTATATATAAATAACATTTCTGGATTCGTGATTGGATGAGTCCAAGTTTGTTCAGAGCTGCGGAGTGCTTTGCTATTCATTGTCACTGAACCTGATATTCTTGTCTGTTTGCATGTTGACGTGCCAAGTGAATCTTTTTCTGAGAATGTGAAACAGAAAAAATATTTTTTCTTATAAAACACGTACTTATATCATATTAATGTTTTAATTATAGATTTCTACTTAGTTCAAATTATTTTAAGGTATATGATCTGAATAATTCTTGATGATTTCTATCTTCTGGGTTGTTGCGCTGTGTAGTCTGGTCGATGTTTACCAACGTTTCGGAGGTCATACTGCCTCCGTCACCAGGGCGATTCAGCGCAACAACCCAGAAGACAGAAATCTTCATACTCACCGCTGTGAAAACCTCAAATCATACATGAATAATTCTTGTGTTTAAAGTTAGTTATGGCTTGTCCTTCTTTATTTTATCGTCCGTGTTGTTTGCATATGTAGTATTTGTATGTAGACGTGTTTTGTGGGCAAACAATGTTTGTTGTATGGTATAAGATCTCAGAGATAAATTACTTGTTTAATGCGGTTTAGTGTCGCGTATTTGAGTTAATTTCACTATAGAAAGGGATATATAGATGAATTTTCAGTTAAATGGGCTCTTAAAGATCTGAAAGAGGGATGTTTGTTTTATACTAAAGTGTAAATGTGAAAGGAGAAGAAAAAAATAATGTTTTTACGATGTGGACTAGACGTTTAAAATCATATTAACACGGAAGTTATTTTCTGAATCATGCTTAGAAAATAACTGCAGAGAAGCAGCCCTGATTATTTCTTATAGTAGGAACACATTAGGATATGATCTCAAAAATGTTGATTATATTATTTTAACAAATATTGTAATATATCTTACATGGATGCAATTGTAAGCAAATTCATTCCTTTAAATCTGTGCCGTCTGAGAGAGCGTTTGCGTTGATAATTCTTGTAAACACGCTGACGCGAACGTCGAACGCTTTTAGTAATTTTTAGTCTTTACATTCGAATTGCTTGCACAGAAACTCCAACTGTTGTTTGACCAACGAAGAGCCGCCACTGACGTGACGTACACAGGGCATTATTGCTTATTGTTTCTGTTTCAGCCCTCAACATCAGGAGGTGTCGTCGCATCGGCGGTGGGGATCGTTCAGACAGTAAGCAGAATCTTTATTTTATACTGCAGGGGATTTCGCTTGACGTGTATTTTCTGTCACTCAAGAGAAAACCTTTGACCTTGGCAGTCAAGAAGAATGTTATGGGGGGGGGGGGGGA